CGAAGCCGCGGAAGATGGACTTGTACTTGGCGGGGTCGACCTGCAGCCGGCACTTGACGAGGTCGAGTGGCGTGAGCAGCGTGTGCGTGGAGCCGCACGCGACCGCGCCGCCCGCTAAGCACAGCAGGAAAAACTTGTTGCTGTACATCTCGCACGAGAACTCCTCCTTCTTATCGGACATCGCGTGCTTACCTCCACCACCTTGCGCAACAACCGATACCCCATTTACCCTTGCGGGTCTGTTTTAACGAATATATATATTTTTCAAGTGTAATCACTATTAAGTTATCACTTGTGACATGTTGACAGCGGGATCTGCCAGAGATTTACTTTTTCATCTTTCATAGTCAAATGTAAGCGGCCTTTTTAATTCAACATTGCACAATTGTAGATGTTTTAAATATTCGTTATTCTTTAAAAAAATTTAGTAACTGTTTTTCATTGTACGAGTACATGATTAAGTATGTATAAATAAAAGAATCAAAGTTATTATATTAGAAATTTATTGACATAATAGTCGACGCGCTTAAATAACTAATTTAAACAATATAACTTACAAAACCTCAGATATATTAATCTGTATACACATATTTACAAAATAAAGTCTATTGCATTGCAAATCCTATCCGTTATAAAAGTCAATGAAGCGTTAGAACTTGTACAAGTAAATACAAAATAAGTAGACGTCATTGTCCACATAACAATAAATAGATTGCCTTATCTCTATGTGTTATGCGTGTCTATACACTGGCACTTCAATATGGCGGCGTACGAACTAAACAAGACTCCCAATCCTTAAAATGTACTATCATTTTAAGATCTTTACAACAAACTCTGCGTCGACAGAGAATGGAATGAGAACGGAATAAGTAACGAATATGGGCGGTTTTAAATTAATGTACAAAACCGCCCGCCTTAAGATCCTGCGCCGGCGCAGACCAGACTAGCGACAGTGACGGCGATGAGGCCGTGACCTTTGACGTCATCGCCGCGCCCCGCATCGCCTCGCATGGCATCGCATCGCCCACAATCCTAATACTGCTTTACCGCGTCGCTCCGCGCTCACAATGTCCTGAATAACTAACAATCTTACATTACACGCCGTCTTCAACATCCTTAAATTTAACAAACGATAAAATCAGTACAACTATAAATTACGTAAGTCTCGTTAATTTTATTCAGAATTTCAGCGTTAATTTCCTATTCCTTAAAATCTTTAAATAGTTATTTCCAACTTTATAAGTCAAAAATTCAATAATCATAAAAAAATAACTTAATGCGCTCGGACACACCTTCGCTAATCTCTAAACGAATTATTTAAAATGGTAGATCGT